ATGTGGAATCTAAGGACTCCTTTTCCATGAAGGTATAGTCAGCTCCACAAGCCCCAGATCAATTTGGGGAAAAGGATAATCTTGGCCCAAGATTCCAGGCACCTCTGGGTCCCTGACTTATGCTTCACCAGGCAGCCCCATGTGCACTCAGCTCTTCCCCCATCCCAGCCATGCAGGGGCTATTTCCTTTGACTGAAATACTTACTGGTCCCTGCTGCACCTCCCCCTGCAGTGACCTTTAGGGCTAACCGGCCCTAGGTCCGGCTGGGCAACCAGCACGCAGGGGAAGAACAGCAAAACCCTACCTGCTGCACCTCCCCCCGCAGTGATCTTTAGGAATGGCTTTCGCCATGGTCCCTAGATCCGGCTGGGCAACCAGCGCGGGGAGGGGGGGGGGGCGGAACAGCCTGAAGCAGAGGAAGTGCAGCGGAAGTTCCCTGAAAAGGCAGAAGCTTATCAAAAGATAACGACCACCAAGAACCACTACAAAAATGCTAAAATCTTATCCCGTCTTTCTAGAACTACAAACTTTAATCCCTTATCTGTCTTTCTAAACTTTCTCCTTTCTTCTATAATGGTCATTGTTTGTTATGTAGATCACCTCCCTGATGGTGATAGACTGAGCCCATGAGCAAGCTAATTTCTTTGATATTCATTCCTGTGCTTTTGGAAAACATATATATACTGGTCACAAACTTAAAGAAAATTACACTCAGATTTTCACTCTTGAAGTGTGTCTGTTTGTCATTTCTTTCGTGACGCCCTGACCACCCTGCACGCTTCTCTCAACCCTGAGGTGGCCTCATCGTCTACTGCTGTGCTGGTCCGCGGCAGGTCCCCCCCCCCCCCCCCCCCCCCCCCGCCCCCAGATGCCTTAGAACTCTGGCTTTTATATGCAGATTAGACAGGACCAGGGTTTCTGTGCCCAACCTGTCACTAGGGGTCATTTTAGGGTCATTTTACATATCATTTTGTGATATGTAATTGCATATCAACTATCTCCCATGTCCTTAGCCTCAAAAGTAATATTTTTCCTGAAAAGTTGAGACTTCAGATCCTGGAGCCTAGAAAATGGCAGAGAGTTGTGGAGTTGGGGACCAAAGGTCTTTCTTGCAAAGAACAGCCTTTAAGCTCAGGGACTTTGTTTCCAAGCATAAAGTCAATCAATGGGTCCAATAAGAGCAGTAAAGCTCCTGCATGAAAAAAAATCATAGTGCATTGGTGACACAAAGAGTATCATAGATATTCTAATCCAACTTCATTTTACAGCAGATGAAAGGATTGAAGAAGTATTAAGAGAAGTAGAATGACTTGTTCAATGTTATGCAACCAACTTAAGACCAACCCAGGATTGTAGCCAAGGTTGTTCCTCAAAAAAAATTTTTAAGTGAATTAGATATTATTTTCCAATGAACTAATCAGTCATTGGAATTTTCTAACAATGGCCAAATCACTTGATTTCTAGAACTATTTTTTAGAAATCTCCAGTATGCTTGTTTTGATGTGGATATTACAAGTTGAATGACAATCCTGAGCCACGATTTTGACACAGGAACTGCCTCACATTTTTCCAGTGACATCCTCACTGAATTGACAGTCACTGAGTCCCTAAGCCTGGTGTACCCCTACAGCTAGAGGGTGGCTCAGAGCTGTGTACACACACCTACCTGCATGTCAGTATTCCCATATAGATCTGCATAGTTTACACTGCAGACATAGTAACAATACCACCTTCAACACTGCTATCACTGGAAATGCCGTGAATACCATCTGCCCTACTAGTTATTTTGTTGCTACAATCCAAGTTCCAGTGCTTTAAAGCACTGAGTCTGCAGTCCCAACTGTCTTCAAGTCTTGATTTGAAGTCTGATGTACATTACATCAGCACTACCCTGCAACCTCCATGGGGTGACATAGAACAGGAGACTCATGTCCTCAACAGTAGAGAAATTCTCAAGTATCAACATTATGTCCGATCTGTTGGTTTCTGATAATCTCTCTAGATGGATATATTTTAATATTCAGTATCTCTATAACCAAGTCAAGCTAACACGGAAGTCTTTGACCAGTGAAATGGTAAAAATCTTCAAAATAAGATTAAACTAATGAGTTTGTTTTAGATTTTATGCTATTACTTGAATTTAATGCTTAGCCCTGTTCGGTATCATCAGCCAAATTTTCACTATCAATCATCTATTAAAATACATTTTAGCAATTGGCTGTCTATAAGATTTTATGTATAATGTAGTTCTCTTGACTTCAGGCCAACATTTGATTTTTTTTAATACCAAGTGACCAACCATGTGGGGAAAATTTAACTGGTCAGGGATATACTCTGTTTCTTTTAGTATCTCAGTAGATACTAATAAGGACTTTTGAAAAATTATCCTTATAACAAGCTACTATGCTCAATCATCAGCCTCATGAGTTCCAGCTAAGTGAGATTAAATTCAATGATGACAACTTCCCATCATTGTCTCCATTTTAGCTCGGCACAATAGAAAGATAAATGGCAACTAGGAGGATTAATCCTTCAACACGCCTTAAATATTTCATGTTCCTATAAAGATCTATGCAAGTCAAGACTTTATTTCTTTTTCTCTGAAGAAATGGCCAACAGAAATAGTTGAGCCCAGAAATAGGGGGGTAAGATTTTGAACATAACTATTGTCTTCAAACAGCCAGTTTCCTGCTCCAGAGTTAAGTAGTGTTCTCCAACACAGACCAGATGTCTGGAGCTTTTGGTTTAGTCATTCAAATGTCCTCATGTCACACCCATTTCCATGAGTCTGCATCCTACCAAAACACTCTAGTGTCCATGGACTCACAGCAGCTCTTCTTCAGAGACCAAAGCAAAGAGAAAAACACTGGGCTTGTTTAATGTCATGGGAGCAGAAAAATGAAAGAGTGGCGTTCAAATTCAGACCTGAGGTGCACCCACTGAGCTTTTTACAAGAAAGTAACCTGACACTGATTTAATGAACCCCCTAGATCTTTGATTTTAATGTAGCTTGATTGCATTTCCCTTTGGAACATAAAGAACATGCCATGGAAATGGAAGTTTTCCAAGGAGGAGAGGATGATCATTTTCACAAATGCTACATGTATCTTCATGCTATGTTAAGAGGACAAAATGAAAATGCCCTCAAGAGTCCAAACTCACTGTGTAGCACAAGGAGCTCTTCTACACTGCCATGGGGTGAAAAATTGTAAAGTCACTTTGCAAAACTTTGACAATATGCAGAAAAGCAGATTATAGGTAACAAAACCCAGCAATTTCACTTCTTTTCACGTTCACTTTTCACTTCTTTCACTTCCTTGCAAGCAAAAAAAGACATATACAAGAGATCTATACCAAAGACTTATACAAGAATGAATATTGGAGTTTCTTTCATAACAGATCCAAACTGTAAATTATCATAATTTCCATCCATAGTAGACTGGATAAATAAACTATTCAAGCAAAGTAACATTATACAATGAGAACAAACAGTTGCCAACTGCATGCAACAAATATGGGTGAAAATCATAAACAAAAGGCTAAGTGAAAGGAACTAGACATTTATATAAAGGACAAAAACAGGCAAAAATAATCTGTATTGCTAGAGCTCAGATATTAGTTACTCTTGGGTAAAGGGATGGAGAAGTGACCAGAAGGAAACATGGGGAAGCTTCTGAAGTGCTGGGAAAGTTCTATTTCTTAACCTAGATACTACTTGATGAACATGCTCAGTTTGTAAAAATCATCAAATCAAGTGCTTGTGTGATATATACTTCTATACTTATATTGTGGCAAAAGGAAAAAAATGTTATTCTCATGTGTTCTCATGCTCTGACTCTGGAATGAGCCATGTGATTTGCTTTGGCCATGAAATCTCAGTGAACATGACCCAAACATTGGCATGAAAATGCTGCACATTTCTGCTTCTGTTCTTGGTTCTGTGCAATTTTCATGAAAACATATCCACACCAGTCTGTTGGAGGGCACAGTCCAGTTTGCCCTGGTCATCAGAGCCCAAGTTATTGTGTATGAGCCAATAGACAGCTGACTCACAGATATGTGCATCATCCCAGAGGAAAACAGAACATCAATCCAGTCAAGTCCTGCTGGTATCTGCACAGGCTGTTAAACAGCACTACTGTGCATTAGACGAATGATGCAACTGTACCCAGCAATTGAAAGCTAAGAAATACATGTATTGGGGCCTCCCCGGTGGCGTAATGGGTTAAGCACAGTGCTGTAAGCTGTCCGCAGCCTCTGCAGCACTGGTTCCATTCCTGGCTGGCCAGGGAGATTCCCACATGGTGCGGCAGACCTCTGCTGCCTCGCCCACTGCTCCCCTCAGCAGTGTACTTCAGTCCTTCTGCCTGTTCTGCTCCTTGCTCTGTCTCTGGTGAATTCTCTCACCCTCCTGAGCCTCTGGCCTGTACCCCAGCTCTTGTATAAATAAAATAAAATCTTTAAAAAAAGAAGAAATACATGTATTAACAAAAATGGAGGGGAGGGCTACTGAAGATACCTCCTAACACATCTCTTGTAAAGCTTGGCCACAACATACAGGAAAAAAAGCCTGCCTGAGATCCCACAAGATGAGGGTCCCAAAAGCACAACATGATATCCAAGTAAAAACCATGCTTGAAACAGCCACAAATTTGCTGGAAACCCAAACTGTAAAAGTTTTCCACAGCATCTGAAAGTACTCTCCTTCTGCTTCCTGGAAAACAAGGGAAATGGTGGCTTCTTCTAACTCCCATTTTTTAAAATTCCCTCTTAATATACCTATTCTATCTATGATACCCTTTTACAATATCCATTATGCTATACAGAGAGAGTATATTGGCTGCTGTTTCTGCGAAGGCCATGTTTCATCATGGAGGCAAAAAAATAGAAAACATGGTCCTTTGGGCCACCTTGGGGGAGACCTTTTGCAAGATGAACATTGATAGTCCTGAGCAGTCAGCTGCTCCTACGCTGTGTGGCTGAGCAGTGGCTGTGTTACCTGGATTAACCTGAGCTTTTGTAGAACTCAGGATTGGTAGCAGCAGAAGCAGCACCAAGGGCATTCTGGAAGTCTGGATCATCTCGGAAGATGGTGCTGGAACTGGAGCCTGCAGCCACCGAAAATGCAAGGAAACAAGAAAGACAAAGAGAGCAAATGAGTGAGGCAGGGCATATCAACATAATGAACACAGGTGGCATAATTATTGTGTTCTTACAGTGTTTATTTTTATATTAAGACTTCCAATAGACTTTGAGAGTTGAAGGGGATTTTAGATAGTCCCCAATGTAAGAAATTTCAAACTCTTAGATCATACACTGATAGAATTAAGATTAGCACATCTAAAGGTAATAGCAAAGTTTTACTAAAATAAACACAAATCCTCATTGTGAATGATGATAAAGCAAAATTTGCATTTATGACATTTTTCATAATTTTTATATTAATTCCAATATTTAACCAAGAAAAACATCCAATGATGTTAATGCATTTGCTTTTCTTTTTTTAAAAAGATTTATGTTATTTATTTATGCATACAAGACCTGGGGTGTAGGCCAGAGGGGTGGAGGGTGGGAGGATTCACTAGAGACAGAGTCCGGAGCAGAACAGGCAGAATGACTGAAATACACAGCTGTGGAGAGCAGCAAGAGAGACAAGAGAGGTCTGCTGTGTCTTGTAGGTCAGCTCCCTGGTCAAGGATGAACTCATGCTACAGTAGCTGCTGATAGCTTGATAGTGCTCAGATATTAACCCCTTGCACCACCCGGGAGACCCGCATTTGCCTTTCAAAAGATATGCAGGGCCTCCCTGGTGGTGCAGGGGTTAAAGACAGTGCTACCAAGCTATTGACAGGCACTGCAGCACTAGTTGGATTCCCAGCTGGCCAGGGAATCCACATGCTCAGCAGACCTCTCCTCTCCTGTCCAGCTCCCTGTTACCCTCAGCATTATATTTCAGTAGAGCTGCCTGTTCTGCTCCCCAACTCTGTCTCTGGTGAATCCTCTCAATTCCCTTGCACCTCTGGCCTACACTCCAGTTCTTCTATGCATAAATAAATAAATCTTTAAAAAAAAGATATGCAAAGTCACTATTCATGTTGATTGATTAGCTCTGGGATCCTATATTTTTTAATTTTCACCAGAATGATTCAAGTGGTCATGGTTTAGAGTTGAGACATCAATAGCAACTCATGTTGAGCTTAATAGAGATACAGATGGGGTCTCACTCATAGCAGGAATCTAGAAAACTTAAATAAGGGACCAGGAAAAAGAATAACTATAAGAAAGAAAATATCAAAATCAACAAACAGCTATGAACCAGAGACACTCTATGGGGGTAGGGGGGCGGGGAAAGGAGGGGTTGGGGTCAAAATAAGGGGGTTGTAATTGTATGGGGAATATAAAAATAAAATTTAAATAAAAAAATAGAGATACAGATGGTTGCATACAAAACTATTCATAGACATGTATATGAGGTAGTATAGACACATATATTTCATTGATACATCAGTTAAGAGGCCTAGAAATAATGACACCCACATAGCAACCAGCAATCCCAGCACCCAGAGTTTCATCTGTAACAGCATTCTTCAATGGAAGGAACCAGGCTTCCTTGGAGAAATAGCTGATTCCAGGACTGCCAGGAAATATACAAGATAAGCTTGGAAAATCTTTTAGTGCCAGAAATTTAAAAAATACGCCCACACACATAAATGATGGGAATATATCAAAGGGATACAGGCGCCAACTGAAAAAGTTCCCAAAGACCAAAGCTGGAACAATTTGAGCAACAAAACAAATAAAGTGGTTTTGGATTATAACTCAAGGTATAAAATAAATATCTACAAGGCCATGTTGATATAAATGAATGATTGAATAAACAAATGGGGGAGAAGAGGCAAATTTTCCATGCAAAAGAATTCTGAATAATTTATGTAGATACTCTCTGCTCTTAAAGAAGTGGCACATAGCCACCCCTTCTTCACTTATTAAACATGAGCTGTGTGTGGCAACTTTCTTCCAAAGCACAGGGTATGAAAAAGGAGAAGTAACTTTTCAGTGGAGAAATGTGACAACTCTACCTCAAGTCAGAGGCTCAAATTTGACATGTCATAGTGATAGTATATTTCTCCTTCATCTGATCTGATCTTTTTTTTTAATATTTTTTTTAATTTTAATTAATTAATTCATTCATTCATTTATACAAGCACTGGGTACAGTCAGAAGCGCGGGAGGGTGAGAGAATTCACCAGAGCCAGAGTGGGGAGCAGAGCAGGCAGAAGGACCAAAGTACACTGCTGAGGGGAGCAGCGGGCGGCAGGAGAGGTCTGGGCGCCAGGTGGGACCCTACTCAGGTGGCCGGGGAGCAGCCGGGGATCGAACCGGCGCCGCGGAGGCTCCAGGCAGCTTCACAACCCAGTGCTCAACCGCTGCGCCACCGGGGAGGCCCTGATCTGATCTGATCTCTGTCTTCTTCCTCCCCAAAACCCATTACTCCAATCTAATCATGATAAAAACATCAGGTAAATCCCAGTCGAAGGGCATTCTAAAAATCCCCAATGAGTAATCCTCAAAGCTTTCCATATTCTCAAATACAAGAAATTCTAAAGGACCATCACAGCTAAGAGAAACCAAAGAAACAGCACAACTAAATGTAATGTGATGTCCTGGAAAAGAAAATAAAGGGCATTGGGGGAAACTGAGAAAATCTGAATCAATTATAGACTTTGGTTAATAATCATATTTCAATATTGGATCATTAACTGTGACAATTGTGCTAATACATGATGGCAATAAAAGGGGATCAGGATGTGGGGGCCTATGGGACTTCTATGTACTGTCTTTGCAATGACTATGTAAATATAAAAAGTTTATTTAAAAAGAGAAAGTTTTTTTTTTTTTTCAGGTACCATTAACAATCAACTAAATGTTGGACCTGGTATTAGAAATGATATGTAACAAGAAATTATAAAGAGAGAAAAAAGTCCCTTTAATTTGAAAGAATCAGAGAAAGCTCCCTGGTCAAGTCCACGGTCTTTCAGCCTTGTGAGCACTGCCTTGGCCAACCAGCTACTCCGAGCACATTGTTCAAGCCCTACCCTCTTTTTTTTTCTTTTTCTTTTTTTAATAAATATTTATTTATTTATGCATACAAGAACTGGGGCACAGGCCAGAGGTATGGGAGATGAGAGGATTCACCAGAGACTGAGTGGGGAACAGAATAGGCAGATATACTGATATAGGCTGAGGGGAGCAATGGAGTCAGGAGAGGTCTGCTGCACCAAAACTCATGCTGCGGTGGCTGCAGATAGCTTCATAGTGCTTAGATTTAACCCCTTGTGCCACCAGGGAGGCCCCAAGTCCTACCCTTCTTTCAAGGCACCTTCCTGGTGGGTTAATAGCCATAACATTCTTTTCTCTATCACCTTCTGCAGTGGTGTCTACTACAAGAATGTCTTCTGCACTTCATGCCCTTTACTGAATATTCTGAATTTGCCTCTGTTAGATCCTCCATAACTTTGTTATAACATTAACCATTCAATCATTTGCTTTAAAATGGCTCATTCCTGTATCTATAGAGGAATATTTTATATCTTGTTCAAAGTAGGTACTCAAAAATGATTGTAACTAAACAGAACTTATAACTTACTCAAAAGTGTGGACTAAATTTCATTCTGCTGTCAACTTGGTTTCCAGCTGTGAATCTCCAAAACCAGTGATTATTTCTGCTTTGTTTGCTTAAAATTAGGGTGACTGGCAGCTCACAAGCATAGACAAATCATTAGCACACTACAAGTACAATAACTATACCCTGTCTAAAATGTGCCAAGAGCTAGCTCATGAATTATTCACAGTAACCCAATGAGACTTGTTTTCATCAACAAGATAGTTAAGAAAGGAGCGGTTAAAACTGATCTAGTTACATAGCAGAGAGGCGCCAAAATTCACATGTGAACTCAGGGTTTGTATTACCCCAGAATCCACAAAGGTTTTGAGATTGTTGTGTTTGTCATCACACTACACTTGCCTTCAATCCAGCTCTGCTTACTTCGCCAGAGTTACTCTCCCACTCAACTTTCTAAATCACTTACTTTGAGGTTTTTTTTCTATTTTCTTCTGCCTCAGAACTTTTGCCAGAAAGTTTCATCTAATTCAAATCTCCATTCAATAGTCACTTCCTCAGTGAAATATTCTCTGACCATTTTTATTGCTACCTGCATTAAAAGCATCTTAAATTTTTTTTACTTAGAAATGATCAAAGTTTCTAATTATATATTCATTGCTATGATTGTCTAATTAGTTTCCCCCACCCCCATAAGCTTCAGGCTTTTTTAACTTGCCATTGCATTCTCAACACCTACTGAAGTGCTGGATAGATATTTGAAGGGTAAATTAGTGATTGCCTTAAGCTACATATTCAGTTATTACATCTGGTCATTCCCAGTTCCATACTCTAAAAGAAAGTATACCCCAAATCTACTAGAAGCAGACATCACCCTTTTCTACCCCTTTGAATGAGTTTTTCCAAGGGTTCAATATTTAAATAATGTGACACAAATAGAACCCAAGGACTGACGCTCACTAGTCATCAGGAAGACAAACTTCCAAGTAGTAGTTGAATACTGATTTCATCCATCAGATCAGCAACAATTTTAAGTGTGATTAATATGAAATTTGGCAATAATGTCAGGGAAGATATATATTCCCATGCTCTGCTACAGGGCATAAAAATTAGAAGATAATTTGAATAAAAAATGGATATACCTTATATGATCCATATGTTCCACTTATTATTATTTATCCTAAAGAAAGGCTTTAGTATTGCACAGTGAAGCAGCCACTAAAAATAAGTGGCTTGCAATATTTTTTGTTGTCATTTTTTAATTTTATTTGCAATATTTTTTTAAAGTTTATTTTATTGTGGCAAAAACACAACATAGATCTACTAACCTCGTAACAAAGTTTGGGTGTACAATACATTTTTGTGGACTGTAAGTACAATATTTTACATCAGATCTCTATAACTTACTCATCCTACTTATCTGAAACTTCATGCCTTTTTATTAGTAACTTCCCACCTTCCCCTCTCCAGCCCCTAGAAGCATCACTC